TCAACAGGAAAGCAAGACTTCCAGCACCAGTGCAAACTGGTAAAATCCCCATTGAAATGGCCTCACCATTTCCAAGGGGGCTGGAAACACATTTCCATATAGCACCTGGCCCCTCTGGCAGGACAGATATCGTCCTTCAGGACCAGAAGTTCAACCTGTGTAGGGTAATGCTGTTGCTCAGCACTAGAAGTAAAACCCAAACTAAAATATTTTGGTGTTTCCACACCCCTTGAACACGGACTAAAATCTTTTGGTGTTTCCACACCCCTTGAACACTGATATCTCCTTATCTGCAGGGAGTGAGCAAACCTCACTTATTTTTTTTTTAGAGCAAGCCTGATCTGCTATCTGCTCTAAGAGCTCTCCCATCAGCAATGTTATCCTCTCCCTTAGGGTGGCATTTTCTGGTTTAGACTGTGCAGTGCAAACCTCAGCTGAGTGACAAATCTGCCTCTCTAAATCTCTTTGGAGAAGGGGAAAAAGAGTGATGGAAAAGGTCCTAAATGACAGGTGGGTGCTTCCTGGCTTGGGCTGAGGAGCAAATGCTGAGAAGTTTTGTGTCCAAATAGTCCTCCCCAAACACCTGGTAGAGCAGTGTGGTTTTGGATGGGGATTAGGGTTTGTGTGGGTCCCTAGGTGGTCACAGGGGTGGTGCATGCCAGCAGAAGTCATAGCAACTCATCATGGTGCAAAGCATAGTCTGAGTCAGACCAGATCCTGATTGGGAAGCATGAGGAGTGGGGAATTCTGGGATGCTCCTGGTGAAAGGGTGAAGATGTGGAGCAAGTGGGATGCAGAGCTGCTATCAGCAGCTGGGCAGAAAGCTGAGCAGTGCAGCAAGGGTGACATGGGCTCCCTCCTTCTGCGGTCATGCAGGGATCCTCCTGTTCAGACCCGAGGGCAAGTCCCAGGGCAATCATTCTGTATGTCCTTGAGGCCTGCTCCAAGTGGGACCGCTCTGTAATCAGCAGAGCCTTGATGCAAGAGAAGCCCTGATTTTAAGCAGAGTCTTGGATGGCCTCCAACACCTTTTGCAGAAGTTGGCAGGAGAGGGTAGGGTCTTTGTCCCCATGGGAACCTCTTGCAGGGCTGCTGTCATCCCTAACGATGCTCTGGGGGTTCCTGGGAGCAGAGGTAGTCCTCATGTCCCCATCTTGCAGCTATTATGGGGCTTTTAGCTATGTGTCTGTGGGGCACCTTAAATACAGACCTAGAAAGCAGGTCCCTGGGAGCTTTGACTAAGCTGTTCTTGCTAGAAGTGCCTGTGCTATGGCAGCTGCTCTCAACCTTTCTCTTTTTCCCAAATGTGTGTCCAGAAAAGTTAAGAGCCAAACAGAGAAAATACAAAAATGTGGCATTTATTTCTGTACATAACCAAAGCACTCGTAATTAGCATCTCCACATGGAAAACCAGACAAGTTTCCTCCCCCCAAAACAGAAGATTCAGTGCTACATTGTCAGGCTCACAATTAAACTCCCTCTTTGATGCTCAGTGTCCCTCTTTCTTTTTCTGAAAAGCACACTTTATGATAATAAAAAAAAAAGGCTAAAATATTTCAAAGGCACATTCCTATTAGGAAGGACTGAAAAAATACTGCTTATTCCTTGCAAGCCTGCCTCTAGTGCTGGAGAGGTGGTTGTGGCTGATAACAATCCAGCAAATGCATGAGAATGCAAAACAGAAGGAAAATATTTACTGGAAGCTAATAGTAATTTTCACAAATGGTCACCAAAAGAGACCAAATATTAGCAGAAAAGGGAAGCTGCTGTAACTCTTTGTTGCTGGAACGCAGCCTTCCTGGGTGTAGGGCTGAGGCAATCTTATCTTATCTGCTGCCTTGGTTAGAAGAGAAGGGGAACTGCTGTTCAGGTGATAAGAGAGGCCAGAGGCTTCTCCATTAATATGTAAACTTTGGATTGAAAAGGAAGACTGAGACCTCTAGGCAGAAGTCACCTCTCAATAGAAGAGTTTCAAATCTGCATGCACCAGCAAAAGGCACATCTAATATGCACTGGCTTCTATAAAAAGGAGGAAGGGGATAGAGGGGTGATCTCACTACTTAACTTTCCAGTTTGGGTTGAATAACGTCCACACTGAAGGACCTTCACCTGAAGTAACAGCTTTGTACTTCTTGTCCAAGCTCTCTGTGATACATTCTCAAATCCAGAAAGGACCATGCCAGGCACATATGATCTCTGGCCCTCCATGGCAAGTGACATCTGTATTTGCCCTCTAGGATGGACTGAACTAGCAACAAAGCATTAAAAAACAATACCCAAGTGAAGGAGGACTTTCCAAACACCTTGGCAACTTGTGCCTGTGGTTTGAAATCACCTGGCTCCCCAGCTGAGCATAGCTGGCTTCAGATCCAGCTCTGTGTGCCACCCTTGTCAGAGTAGTCATTTCCCTATTTCCACTGTCTTCACCCCATGCTGGGAGCACTGGCAATCCTAAACCACCTTTTTAATCCTCTCTTTCCCAACACTAAAACGCTTGTGCTCTTGTGGTTTTTAATGACCAGGTGGTTTTTATGACCTCAGATGAGTCTTGCAGCCCTGCCTGTCTCAGAAGGAAAAATGTGGAAACATTCAGATGTAGTCACTAGGGCAAGAAACACCAGGAGGGGATATGCAGAGCTGTGGTGAGAGGCTTTAATGTCTCAGACACCAATGTCTCCTCCCTTTTTCCTTTGGCCAGTCTGTGCTCGAGTCCCCCCCATCTCCTGCCAGTCACTCCCAGCAGCTGGTGGGTCTCCAGCATTTTTTCTGCATTTTTAAGCTCCTTCTTCATCTCCCTGTTTCAAGATGGGGGTTGAGACTGCTGGTCCATACTCTTTAGAAGGGACTCTTGCAATTTGCTCCACTCTCCCCTGCTCAGTTTTAGCTTTGCCTTCATTTCCCTGATTTTTGGGAAAGCTCTGTGGGGCATATTCCTCTGCCTGACTCTCTCTCTTTTTTTTTTTTTCCTTTTCTTTTCCATCCTTCTTGTTTTTTTGTTTTTTTTTTTTTAATATAAATATGACCCCTACTGAAACACAAACTGTTCTTCCCTCGCCTCACCCTTGCTGCCTGTTGTGGCACCAACCACATCCCTGGCAAGAGAATGCAAGTTCTCCCCAAGAGTATGAGGATGGCACGGAGCTGAGTTGCCTTCATATGCAAATAAATGCAAACAGCTTCAATTAATCTGGAAAGAACACACAATAATTTGCAACAGGTTATGAAGTATTTTGTCTTGCTTCTCTGCCTCTCTCCCTAAGGATTATTCTGGGATGAATGTCTCTGTGGTTGCATTGAAAAAAAATTTCAAAAACCAAACCAACCAGCAAAAAGCCCACACCTTCTCCAGAAATATTTTTTTTTCTGTGTTCCTGGACAATTTGGCAGCTGCAAACCCGTGCATTGAAGGAGGGTCATTCACTCCCTCCATGGAGAACCTCCTCTGTGCTGGCTGTGGATGTGCTCCCTCCTGACTGCCTGGAGAAATGAGGAGAAAACATGGCATTTTGGGGTACAGGGTTTCTTAGGCTCTGAGGAACTCATTTGTTTTCAGAAGAGGGCTATGTTTCACAAGGACCAGTCTGGCTTCCAGCAAGGCCTTCAGGTGGGCTACATCTCAGCCTTTGGGGTGGGAAGGGTAAGTTTGGTGCCTCCAGCCCCAAGTAAGGGGTGCTTCTGGCTTTCCTGCAGCAGTTCCTCTTGTGATGTCTTCTGACGCCCTTATTGCACCATTCTTCTTATGACAGATGGTTGTGGAGGAGATGGGCAGAGCCCTGGAGAGCTCACACTGGGTTCACAGAGAACTGGGGCGCGTGGCAGGCGAGGGGGCAGTTATCCAGTCCCAAAGTGCTCCAGCTCTGTTATTCTTCTGCTGTCAGCAGGTGGTTGCAGACCTTGGAGTTGGCCTGGTGCAAGGCAAACTCCCTCCCGGGCACGGTGCCCTGCCTGCCTTTTCGAGCTGTGCTGCTCTGGCTCCCAGCAGACTTGGAAACTGTGAAGATTTCTCTGTGAGATAAAGTGACAGCAAGACCATCAGGAGGCTGTGGTGGTGGTAGACCTCATCCTCCACCCAGACCAGCATATTCTTCAGCTCCTAATGGTCTAGTGGTGCTCCCACCCATGTCATCATGAACTTGTGGTGTCCTACCACTGGTTTTTGACCTCCCCCTGCTCAGTAAGTGTGCAACCATTAATTCCCTCCTCTCACCAAGAAGTCCTTTATCTCAAGCATATCATGAAGTTTTTACAGTGTCTGGCCATATCCAGAGCCTACCTGTATGGGACTTGCTCCTCTCTCAGCTGCAGGCACATGAGCACCGGGCTGCCAGAAAACCTCAGCATGGTGTCAAAGTGGATTGAGGTCTCTGCCTCTGTCTGGCTTCTCAGGGTGGCTTGGAGGAAAGGGGCATCTAATTCTGCCTGGAAATCGATGGTGAGGCTTCCCCTGCAAAATAGAAGCACGTAGGTCTGGTCACCAAGCACTGGTCCTGTGCTGGGCACTGTGGACTGGCACCAAACACCACCATAAGCATATGAATTTTAGGTCTGGCCATGGAAAAGGAGTGTGTAACCAGTGCCCACTAGACCCCTACCACCAGGACACCCCTGTGTCCACCAGGAGGGGCTGGACCAAGCAGGAGAAGAGCTGAGGGGCTGTGGAAAGCCAGTCTAAGGTGAAGCATCCTTTGTACTGTGGTGCTGAGCCACACAAGTGCCCCACAACCCCAGAGCCAAGCAATCTCCCACCCACTGACCTCGTGTTGATGTTGGTTTTCAGTTCCTGCTCCCAAATGCTCACATCCATGTCAGCTGAAATGTCAAGCCCTAGCCCACCCTGGAGTTTGATGGCCACTTGGAGACCAGACTGCAGAGGAATGACCTGGAAGAAGGAGAAGACAGACTTTGCTGTGACTGGGCACTGCTCTCGGCTGAGTGGCTGATACCAACACCAACTTGGGGCTGCTGGGACTGCCTATCCCAACCCTGCAGCTGGGTTTGCATGGGAGGAACTTGAGCTACGTAAGCCCCACAGCAGAGTCAGCCATCCTGCTGTTTGACCAACCCCAGGAGACATCCAGCAGTGCCACCTTGCTCTTAGACCTGTATCTTCAGTGACTAACACCTAAAATCCACCTGCTCGTGCCACAGGATTCGCTAGGCTTTGGCATAGAGCGGTTTGGCAGGGAGCTGTTCACCTCTCCCACACCATCCAGTACCTGGTGATGGTCCATCAGCAGGAGGTTCCCTTTAACCACACTGGTAGGTTCTCCACTGCTTAGCAGGACCTTGGCCATTAAGTCTGTGTACCCCTGGAAGAAGACGACCGGCCGCAGCTGCACGTCGAAGAAGACGGCCGACATCCCGGCCGTGAGCTCCGGCTCCTCTTCCCCTTCCAAGACGTCTTCTCCCAGCATCGACTCCATCCCTTGTGCTTCAATAGTCACCTGAACCACAGAGGGGGAGACAGCAAAGCTGCAGAGCGTGTTTTGTGCCCTGCAATGCTATTTCAGTCCTTAGACTTGTCCAGCCCTTGGGTAGCTGGCACTCTTTGAAGCAGAAGGACAGTGATGGGGTGGCCTGGATGGGGTCCAAGCTATCCCTGAGCACCGTGCTGCAGTGGTGTCACATCTCCTGCTTTTGGGGGAGCAGAGGGTTCCCTTACCCAGAGCAGAGCTTTACATTGGTGCTGGGGGTGTGTGCATTTATGTATTTCTGATACAGGGCACACCGAGTGCAGCGGTGAGGTCAAGCACCATAAGGAGGACCCAGATGGGACAGTGGCACCACTATCACCCTCCTCCAGCTGCTCTCCTGGCAGCACACCTGAGCTGCATGAAGCCACTGGCCACGGCTGAGCAGTGAGAAGTCAGAGACACTCTTCCTCAGGAATCCACCTTCCAAAAAGAGCAGGTCCAGCCTGAAGGTGGAAAGCAGGTCCTGGGTGACTGAAAGGCAGAGAGACACCCATAAGCATCCCCAGGCACATCTCCTTTTGCAAATGAGTCCCTGAGCAGCAGGGGATGAAGGCTAACAAGGAAATACAAAACCTGTAGGAGGGATGTGCAAGGCTGGAGTCCTGGCAAGTTTGTCCCTGCTGCCACCAAGTCACTGCTCAGTAGGACAAGGTGGTGTCTTAAAAGAGCTTCTCCAGATTGATTGTGGGAATGGGGAGGTCACGGGGTACATCTAAGAGCAGGGGGATCTTGAGATCTCCTTGGTAATTTGGGAGCCTCCTCAAGAGATTGTACAGCTAGTCCTGTAGAGCTGTCCCATCTATGGTCAGGGGGATAGACACATTAGCCATTAAATATCTGATAAAGCTAATTTATCCAGAAGGGAAAGCTTCTCTGCACCATCCCCTTCCCTTCTAGCAATAATCAAAGGATTTAACATTGCAGTGTTTTTCTATCAGGTGTTGGCTCTTTTGCCTTTACCTACCCTCTACGAGGCCAGGCTGAGCTAATTTGAAGAGGGACAGTAATGAGAGCTGAGGGATGAAGATTTAAGCAGATATTTAGCAAGCATCAATTGTTCAGTGTCTCTGAAGTTTGCTATTTTTTATCTTGGCACAAGCATTCTCCTCATGGAAGAGCTTACTAAAAATACCTAAGGAACTGAGGAATGGAGCTAAATATCTTGACTTATCAGGAAAAGCACAGAAACTCCCACCTACAATTTACCATTGGTTTCCCCTCCAGCTGAAGTTCCTCTTTAAAATTAGCAGTACTTGGGAAAAATATGTGGCCCAGCCCTCCTGCTGTAGGGGTCTCAGAGAAAAGTGTGTAGATATATCTCAGGTGATGACAACCAGACAGGCTCAGCTGGTGCACATGCTCAGAAACCTCACACTGAGATTTTGGAGCATTTCTGTGAAGCCAAGGCCTTTCCTTGTGAAAGCTGCCTTTCCCCACCAACCCCTCCTTTAAGCCATTTGAAGGGGACCATGGGATGAGTGCCCTTCGTGGTTTCACCTGCCAGAGGTCCTGAGAAAGAAGAGGAGATGCCAGCTTTCGAGAAGAAGTAGTAATTATTTATCCGTGGGTCTCTCATGATGCCTTTCATTATCTTCCTGGAGGCAAGAAGGAAAGGGTATGTCAGCATGGGGAAGGAAGGAGGGGAAAAAGAGTCAGTGGTCATTACAGGAGGCTGTACAAAGAAAGAAATAAAAATTGCCAAACTATTTATCTCAGTTGCCCAGAGAAGCATGAGCAAAAAAGGAAATGAGCAAATGTGGGCTACCCTGGAGTTTCCCTCTCCTCTAGTTTATTAGGATATTTTTGTGCAGCTTTTGCTTAGCTCTGAACAATGTTAGTGCTTGGTTTGTTTTGTGCAGATAGGAAGATTAATGCAGTTACAAATTGTGCACTACTCTGTGAGCCAGAGCGTTGGCCTCCAAGGACTCTGCTGAAGCCATGAGCCTGGGTCTTGCTGCCACAGGGCAGGGTGAGGAGGAACACCAGGTTTTAGCTGGCTGGATGTCATCTGTGTTAGCAACTCTGCACTCTTCTTCCTCCTGCAGCTGGGAATTTCCAGGCAGCCCCAGTGCCAGATCCAAGAAGTGATGGTAGCAGGCTTTAAAAGCATGCTGGGTCAAAAGCCACAGCTGGAATGTGGAGAAAAGAGACAAAAAAAGGGGGAGAAAAATGTAACCTTCCCTTGCAGACTCACCTTGCTGGGTGGTGGTCGGCACGCAGGCTGCTTTGGACCTTCAGCAGCAGAAATGTTGCTGTTTCTGTCTCCATCTCATTGGCAGCCAGCAAGATGTTGATGACATCCATGGGTGAGGGCTCGTTATCTAGGAGGATTTCTGCAGCAGCGAGGCGACAGGTTTTGTCATAGCTCTTCCTCTTCTCATGGAGAATCCTCCTCATGGCTTGTTTCACCTGATGCGAGAGGGCAACAGAAATGGTGCAGTTAGGCTGGTGATGTGCAAATGGTGGCTCCGTTTGCAGCCTGATGGCTTGGCTTTGAATGTGGGGACCGAGCCCTGGCAGCTTCATTTCCTACCTTGCTGGAGATGTGCTGAGTAGGGATCCGCTGCAGGGCAGAGATGGCTGCGGTGGTGACAGCAGCAGGACCCTCCTCGGCGTGGTCCAGGAGGGTGGGGATGGTTTCAGGAAGTGCCGTGTTCCCCAGGGCCAGCAGGTAAATGGCCACCTTGGACTCCTCCTTGGCATCTCTTAACCCCCTGAGGATGGTTTCCACCCCACGCTTCACTTCCTACTCAGGGTTGGCAGGAGAGCAGAAGAGAAGGAGAGTGAGGGGAGGGACAGGAGACATGTTGGATGCTCCTGGAGGAGGGAGGGGGTGTGGAAAAGCCAAGCATGGAGGTTTGCAGAGGACCCACCTGCAGCCCACACAGGTTCTGCTGGCACAGCTTGCTGACCAGAGAGCCCATGGCAACTATCCCCGTCTCCTGGACCTCGGGGGCCAAATGCTTCCCATCCAGCTTGTCCTGGGCACCGGGAAAGGGGTATCAGGAAACAGGAGAGAAAAAAAAATGGAAGGAACAGACAGAGGAGTGTGTTTTACTAATTAACAATGATCTGGATGAGGGGACTGAGGTTTCCAGATGACACCAAGCTGATGTGTTGATCTGCTGGAGGGTCAGAAGG